TCGTCCAAAAATCTATCTCTCACTGCTAGCATTCTGAAAAATTCCTCTGTGTTCATACTGTGTTCTCGTTCGCTGGAACTTTTATTTGTGTGCTCAAACATTTGTTCGTAGTCATCGTATCCTGGGAAACGATTGTTGCAACGCTCCTACCACCGTGGGAGGCAACAAATACGTTTTAAGGACATCGTGCGTAGCACGAGCCTACGCACTTTGACTAATTCTGCTTCATCTCATTTCTTGTTTTTCGCTAGTCATTTTATTTTAATTATTTTATTTTAATTAATTTTCTTTATTTTCCTAAACACACCCGACAGAAAAGACCAAATAAGTAAGATTACAGTTACTTTTCTCACTGAATTATTTGAAATTATTGTAGAAGACCAATTCGACTATTTTTCATATAATTTTTTTCTTTAGTTGTTTAATAAAATATATGCAATTGAAGAACTTCCACATCTCAGATTTTGATACCTCTAAAAAATATAAAAAATAACTACCATACCATGTTAAGAATAGACGTACCAATTTTTTTAGTCGAATTAAAAACCTCCTAAACTACTCCATTAATAACTATAATTTCAAAACACATACCAAAGTAAATATTATTTTTATTACAAATGTGAATACTTATATTTTACTGCAAAATTAGATCACAATCCTAATTTAAATATATTTGAAATAACACTCTGTTATTCAAAGTGATTAATTTTTTAGCTTAATTGAAACCACAACAATTACATTAGTGAATTAATGTTCTCCATTTTTTGAGTGATTTGGAAAGAATATCTCATTGGCATTTTGTTTTTAATATATGAATAAACTATATTCATCTTAGCAAAAAAACAATATTTACTTTGTACTTTTTTTAGAAACTTTCAAATATGTTTGTCCTTGCGCTTTATTTAATGTCGAAAAATTCCATGCGCCATTGGTCCCGTTATCTAAAAGTATTGGTCAAAAGGTTTTGATTCCACATTTATCATTGGTTCGACACTTCAGATAGCGGAATTCCTTTCAAATTTCAATGCAGACAATTTCCAACCGTTGTTTCCATTTTTATAACGATAAACAAAAGTCAAAAAGTACAATCTCTGCATTAAATGAGTATATATCTTTCAAAATTTGTTTTTACTCACGATCAATTCTACATTATCATGTCACGAATCAACTTCAAAAAGTGGCTTGAAATTTTTTATATGTGATGACGAAGATCGTGCTATCAACACCACTAATAATGTAATTTATAAAAATGTTTTTGAAATTTTATGATACTTTTTGCAAGGCATAAAAATTTATGACTTCTCTGGTTTATAATTTTCTGACATCTACTAATAATTATACCATTATTAATTCCATTACCTCATAGTGTTTATAGTTACAACCTATCCTTTATTTTAATTTTTACTTGCAATTTTTCATATGAACCAAATTTTTATTTACTTACTGGCGTTACAGCTACTATGTGGTATTATATACAAGTAATAATCAAAGCTACGACATATAAACTTGTTTTTTTTTATTTGACAAAAGTACACATTACGTATCATCATCATAAAATATACTTTGTATTTTACATAAATTTATTCTAGATACACCCATGCATCGCACGGGTACTATGTCTAGTGTTCAAATGTATCTCTAACTTTAGTACTAGTAAAGTTTTGTGGAAAAGAGAACATGTACGACACCTTTCTTCTTGTTGAAAATCCAAATTCAACGAATCACTTTTAAATATTCATAGAAAGAAATTTTAAACTATGGGGGTGTTTGGATCTGATTCTCAAAATTGATTCTGCTGCTTCAGGGAGCTGAAACAGAAGCTGGAGTGTTTGGGTGAAATTCCAGAAGCACTTCTGGTGGTCTAATTTACTCTCAGAATCAGTTTTTTTAGAAGCTGGTAAGTACCAGCTTCTGAAAACTGATTCTGATTCTGATTCTACTTTAAAAAAGAAGCAGAAGCAGAATCAGTTCCAAACACCCCTATATTAGGAAGATATGATTCCTTATGTTCCTTAATTCATACCCTGTGTACCGTTAGTCCGTTACAATCAAATTTGATCAGCTCATTAAATAAAATTGTGTTAGAGCATCTCTAACACAAATTTGAAAAAAAAGGAAGCTACTAGAGACTTGCTTACAAATTTGAAGCTACTAGTCTACCATTGGAGCATTGCTCTTACTTTTGCTTGAGAAATAAGAAAGCTGATTAGCCTAAATGAGCTACTAGTTTGAGTAATGAGAATTATTAAATCTAGGATTGTAAATAATAAATGAAGAGGAAAAAATTATAGCTAATCATTGGAGTACATTTCAATTTTGTTATAAATTCTTATGTGTGGCTAGTAAAATTATAAGGGCAATTAGCTAACCACTGGAGATGCTTTTACAGAATTTTATAAATGAGATAGAAACAATGACTAGAATAATACCCCCACCTTTTCAAAAGACAAAAATAAGTTCTGATTAGAGTTTGGACAAAAGTAAGACCAAACTAAAAAAAGGACCAAAGGACCCTGGAACGCAAATCCAACCGGCAATTCCTCTCCCTTCATCAGCGCACATCTACAGTTTCGCATACCATTGGGAAGCTGCACCAACGCCGACGAAACGATGCACTTGCCTCCGTCGCGCCGCCGAATGTCGTGCTCTTCATCACCGCCTCACACTATGCTCGTCTTCGCCATTGTATTCCATCTCCACTTCATCTTTCTCCTCATCTATTTGTTCTTCCAAATCTGTTTTTCCAAAGAGCTAGGGTTCGATAGTGTGGCTGGTCGGAGCTGGATCTGGCGGCGGCCTATGGTAGTGGGATGCACGGTTGAAGGGGACGAGGTGAGAAGAGCGGGGTATGGGCGGCGGTGGCCGGCAGTGACAAAGGGTTTAATTTGGGTGCTGGGGGTTGAGGGACCCTGTAGACGGGGTTGGAGTTGTGGTTCAGGCTGGGGACGAGTTGGGAAGGCCGGTCACTGGAGAAGGGAGAGGCTGGTCACCGGCGAGTCTGTTGGGCAACATCAGTGGTGTCCGGCGGCGGCGTAATGGCGGTTGTGGGGTAGCATTAGTAACTGGGTTGGTTTGGGTAACTGGATGGATCCGGGCTGGGGCTAAGTCGGGCTGAGACTAAATCTGGGAAGGGGGTGGGTTTTGCATTGGGACTAGGTCTGGGTTTGGAAGGGACCTGGGTCTGGGCATGGGGCTGGGCAGGGGCTGGTGTGGGGTGCTAGGGGTTGGGGTTGGGGCAGGCTGGTGTGGGGTGCTAGGGGTTGGGGTTGGGGTAGTTGCAAGCGGCAGCGACAGTCTCAAGACAGGCGGGGGCGGGGTCAATGGACATGCAGTGGTAAGTGGACAGGTGGGGCGGTAGTTAATGGACAGGCGGTGGTAACCGAAACGGGGGTAAGACGGTGGTCATTGCAGGAGCATTGTTGTCACGGTCGGGTAACTGTAACTGGACGGGTCGGGTAATTATAACTGGACGGGTCGGGTATAGTAACTGTAACTGGACAATTGGGTAACTGTAACTAGACGATCGGGTAACTGTAACTGGACGGTCGGGTAATTGAAACTGGACGGTCGGGTAACTGAAATTGATGGTGGGGTAACTGTAACTGGACAGCCAGATAACTGTAACTGGACGGTCGGATAACTATAATTGGACGGTTGTGTAACAGTAATTTGACGGGTGGATGTTGATCATTGGACTGGTGGATGTTGGTCACTAGATGGATGAACGTTGGTCACTAGGCGGAGTTTTTAATCACTAATAGATCCGGGTAACTGTAACTGATCGATCCGGGTAATTATAATTGGTAGATTCGGGTAATTGTAAATGATCAGGTCAGATAACTGTAACTAGGCGGGAGAGTTAACCGGATTAAAATATAATCCGGTAAATGTAAAATGAGAGTTTAAAAAATTCAACATCTCTTATTGATTTCCTTGCGAGCATACTCCGTATTTAGAATTGGGAAATGTATTGGAGCCGCTGGGATGATACGTACATATCAATCATGAATGTGTGTTCAGTGGGGCAGCAGGGGTATACTAGACATTTTCATCTCAGTTTTTTAAATGATGCAACCGGATTGTCTGTTTTTTAGGAAGTATTAAAAGAAAACTCATTTTTGTTCAAAACCTTTTAATTAGTTATATTCATGACCTAACCCCAATGAGATATTGGTGACTTGTGCATGCAAATGAACTATAGGTATCACAAATTAAATGCTTTAAAACGACTTAAAAAAGTTAAACAAAAGCATGGAAGGTACGATTCTAAACCGTTTGGGATCTCAGTTGTCTCAATTCCAACTCGTGTTCATTACTTGTGTCACTTCAATGGGACCAAGACATTTGGGACGGTTTGGGACGCCAATCATACAAGTAATTAAACAAAAAATCTGCACCTCCCTCTCCAAAACAACTTCTCATTTTCCTTATTTGGATGTCTCAAAATAAACTTTTTATTTCTTTATTTGACAAATTATTTATATCAAAACAATGCAAAATAATGTCAAAAGTGTCAAACAGTGTCGAAATAATGTTAAAATAGTAAAATTTATTTCTCAATAAATTTATTTCCTTAAAATGTATGTAAATCAAAGCGGGAAGTTGTTTGAGGGAATACATTTTTATTAACTTACGGAGTATGTTTTACTTATATTTGTAAGAATATGGAATTATTCTTGGCCACCTTATAAAAACTACTCTCTCTGTAACATAAAATCTTTCCACTTTTCTTTTTCGTCCGTAACAAAAAAATCTTTCCATTTCTAAATCTTAGAGGGTGGAAGTAGAAGCAAAAGTTACGAAAAGGATCCGAGGCACACGTGATGTCATAATTACTACGAGTGTGTTTAATAAAAATTCCATATTACACTCCGTACAATGCAGCCAGACAGCTAGATTCCACCAACGTCACGCGTATATAAACTTCGTATGTACTGATTCTTCGAAGCTCAACCTTTCTTGCCACTTGTTACCCTTTTTTCCGTTTCTGTATTCACCAGACGCCTTCAATCACGCTGCCAGCAATGGAGCTCTTCCACCGGGCCAAGACGGTTCGTCTCCGGAGCCACCACGACAAGTACTTGACCGCCGACGAGGACGAAGAGTCGGTGACTCAGGACAGGAACGGCACCTCCCCGAATGCGCGTTGGACGGTGGAAATCCCGGAAAACACGGACAACGTCATCCGCATGAAGAGCTGTTACGGGAAGTACTTGACAGCCTCAAACCACCCGTTCCTGCTCGGCATGACTGGCCGGAAAGTGCTGCAGACTCTGCCCGGCCGCCTCGATTCCTCTTTAGAGTGGGAACCTATTAGGGAGGGAAAACATGTGAAGTTCAAGACAAGGTATTGTATGATAAGTCATTGAATTGAATTGATTTGAGTATTTGGCTCTGAGAAGCATAGAATAGTTGACCATTTCTCTGGTTCAATTTTACTTTATTAAACTTTCTACTACAGGTACGGGCAGTTTCTCAGAGCTAATGGAGGTTTGCCGCCGTGGAGAAACTCCGTCACTCACGACATCCCGCATAGGACGGCAACACAGGATTGGATTGTCTGGGATGTTCATGTTGTGGATATTCTGCTATTATCCCCTGTTCCGAAACCGGCGCCTCCCTTGGTTATTCATTCAGATTCATTCGCTTCCGAATCCGATTCTCCTTCAACAGCTTCAAATACTTCTCAGAGCTTTTCCGGTAGAGAGGTACATTTTATTTTCTACTCTTTCACTGTTGTTAAGACCCTGTCCAAACCAACCTTAGATGTAGAGTGGTCTTTTCTTTCTCCATATAGGTATATATATTCTGGAAATGGCAGAGAGATCTAATTTTGATCCTAAAAGTTCTAAAACTGTAAAACTATAGTTGTAAAGATGTTTTTACTTGGTCTGGGTTCAGTCCTAGACCGTACTTAACTATACCATACCTAAACAGACCAGATTTCCGCAGTTGTAAAACAAATATAGATCAACCATCTACGGATCTACCAAACCCGATCATACCAGAACAGGTTAGACTAGCCATCTACCAAACCAGATCAGACCAAACTAGACTAGAAAATTACATTTTAATTAAAAACATTCTACATAGGGTACTAAGGCCCTACTGATCTAAAATATTGTAGTTAGTGCACTACTAGAGCCATTGAAGGTTCACCCACTCAAATTATTTCAACTAGAGAAGCTCTAAAGAGTCAAATCATCATGCTATTGCATTGGACTCAAGGATTAAGTTTAAACTCACATTTAAATTTTCAAGACTTAATCATTGGCCTCTTTTGATTTTACTGGCCCCAACATTCTGAATCTAATATCTTACGGTTGGCCAGTGATTCACATCTGTGATGTGTCAGTGGATTTTTTATTCCCCCCTTTTTTTAGGCTTTTACTCAATGAGTTAGTGTTATTAAGACTTGGGGTTGCAAAATGCCTAAAGAACTCTTTATCTTTGTATAATACAAACTATATAATGACTTCAATCAAATCAAATAAATGCATTACTAAGTGTAAATTAGATGGAACTGACTTCTGCTACCAGACCTGCAATCCGAAAATCCTATTAAAATACATGAAGTTTATTTAAAAATATGATTAAACAGTTATTGCCTTGTTGGTGATCTATTATTATATTGTTCTATTTAAATTTTGCAGTCCGGCGATTCATTGGATAACGTAGCAAAAATGGTAGGAGATGGGAGGCTAATTTTTTATCGTATTGCGGGTGATCATGGGGAGATTGATGAAGGGGTAGAGGAGCTTTGCATGCCTTTTAAGGGGAACAGCGTGGCTGAGTTGAAGAAGAGATTGGAGGAAGAGACTAATCTGGATGACATTGTTGTTTGCACTCGAAGCGTCTTGAATGGGAAGCTTTATCCCCTTCGGTTGCATCTCCCCCCAAACAATGCAGACATGGCCGTTGTCATTGTCCCGTCATCTTCTAAAGGTCAGGCCTTCGGTTTTTCTGAAATTCCCAAAACTTGTTCCCCGGTTCTTAACGTTTGGCTTCATACATCTTGCCAATACCAAGTCTATCCTAAAGGATTTTACATGTGCATATCCCTAATCACAAAAAATACAGTATTACAGTCAATGTCACTCATGTTGTTTGTTTTCATTTTTTAAGTATATTTGTAATTATTAGCTTCTTGTCTTGGTTCTTTCAGTGGCAAAAGATTTTGCAGCGGCAGCAACAACGCCATTCTAGAGCATCCAAATTTGAAATGGCTGGGGGGTTAATTATTTGAAGTGGGCTTTGCAGTTCTGTTGGTCTATGAGAAGTATTTGTAAATACCTTCACATGGTGAAGTTAGGGTGTAATATTTAATTCTTTTTTTTTTGTTATTTTCGTATTAATAAATGGCCTAAAAATCCAGCACCTGAATTCATTGAGTATATATATGAAATAATAAAGTAAAAAAATATTGTTTTGGACAAAATCGAGCAAGTTCCCTCCACCTGCTCTAGGTCATACGGGCTTCCATCACGACACAACACCTCTACTGTTGGGACCGCTCGAATGTCGCAGCCACTTCACTGTTGCAGTCATGCAACTGACCAACACCTTTAATTTTCTCTAATTTTCGGAATCGAGATGAACATGTCCGAGATGACGACCTTTTGAATCTGTGGCGAGCTTCTGAGTCGGCGGTGGCAGCATACTTTGTACATCTGACATGCAGCAAGAGCCTCAACTTTGTGGTCATTTGTAATAACCTTCTAGTACAGGAGCTCCAAGCTTGCCTACTAGGAGCCTAGGATCATCAAACTCAGGAAATCGGACCCTTATTACTTTATTAGTCTATGGAAATGGAACTGTCTCGATAATACAAGCTCATCAAGGTTTTATCAGCATGTACATTATTTTTTAGCTGAGAAGGCAATAGCTGTTAATCCAAATTCAAGAGGTGAGGCCCATGAATCCTCCACAATCAAACTTGGGATAGTTATAAGCAGCTTAACAATTTATTCATGGCAGTGCATGGTAACCTAGCCATGCTTATAAGCTGACCTTGATGTTTTCCGGGTCAGATCACCCATTAGAGGTGGCCACTCAGCCCCTGGCAATGTGAGCCATCTGACTAGCCACTGACTCTTCCCTTAGCTAGTTGAACTCTTTGGTCATTTTGAGCTCCGCCACAACTTCAGTAGATGTGCCCTTGGGGAATCCCTCCTTAGCTTGGCCACCTTTTCATTGTAGATGGGGGAAATATCAGTTCGTCTTATCCTTAGGGAGTGTTTGCAACTGCTTCTGCTTAAAAAAAAGCACTTTTGGATATGTAAGGAAAAAGTGATTAGTAGGAAAAGTTGATAGTGTTTGAGAAAAAAGTGATTTTGAAAAGTAAAAGTTGATAGTGTTTGGTAGAATAAGTGTTTTTTGTGTAATAGAAAGGGGAAAAGCACTTTTCACACGCAAGCCGAGAAAAAGTAAAAATTGGTAGTGTTTGGTAAATAAGTGCTTTTTAAAGCCAAAAGCTGAGAAGTGCTTTTTTTAAAGTGATTGCAAACACTCCCTTAAGGTTCTCCCGCTCCTGGTTTACCTACAAGGCTGCAAGAGCAGCACACTGGTTCTTTCTTTTCACAATCACTGCACATGCAACTGAAATCAAATCAACAACAGCTCCAGCAAAGTACAACGAACCTAACCTAAGCTAATGGAAATCGGAAAGAAAGGATTAGGACCTCGTCCCTAATTGGACATCGAGGTTCTCCAGTCACTGGGGAAGGGAGATCTTCAATTTAAGAACACTTCTTTCTCTTAGAAAACAGGCAGTCAACAGTTCGAAGGAACAGTTTTTTATCTGCCATCCTCTACTAGGTTAAAAATTCTTTAAATGAAGCAACATGGTGAGAAAGAGGTTAAATGAAGGCAACAAGGATGTAGTTTTCTAAATGGTAGAGGAAACGAAGCAATGTTGGATTGAGACACACCGGCGATCCTTTAACACTGCAAAATGTTTTGGCTAAAGGGTCAAATAGGCCCCTGAACGTAACCGAATTGCTCAATTGGCACCCCAAACCCAAATAAGCTCCAATCCAACCCACCAACCAAATAAACTTGTCCAAGCCAAACATCCAGCCGGTTACCTCCCCTTCGTCCCCCTTAAATGCCCAATCAGCAACTTATTCCTTATGATTAATGTTGACTCATTAATACACCCAACCCCCCAACGAAATTACTCCATTTCAAATTGCAGACCAAGGAAAGCGGACGACATAGAAAGACAAGTTTGCGTCTTCTTCGTCTGCACTGGGAAGAAAAACGAGCTTGTACGAACCGAACTGTCTGTGTGGTGTGAAAGCTCGACTGTGTACAACCCGGGAAAGCGGACGCCAGTTTTATGGATGCCAAAGATGGAAGGTAATAAGCTCTCAAATATTTAGGGGTTTTTCAGGGGGTGCGCGTAATGGTTGTGGAAGTTAGTAGAAATTTGGGCAAAATTGTTTGTAATTGTAAAACCTATATTTTTTGGAACCTGTATACTTGAAAAAAGGGTTGAAAAATGTGTTTACAGTTGTATGTATGTGATTGTGTGATTGTGACTGTAGGATGGGTTAGGGTGTGGATATTTTCTATGGAAAGAGGATGTAGCCGGTTTCCATGAAGACAATGGAGCATACATGGGTGTTACTGGGAGATTGGAAGCCTCAATTCAAGAGCTGAACAGGGTTATGGTTGTTATGCAACATGATATACAGAGCATCAAAATGGTTCTTGAAACTGAAGCTAAGGAGAAGATATTCTGGAAGAGAATGTGGCAAGGACTTGTGATATTTGTGGTTGTAGCAGTTCTTGTTAAGAAATTGTAAAAGTTTGGATTTGTTTGCTAAGTATTGTCCTGTTCTTCTTAATTTCAGAATACTCAATCTAGTTTCTACCCATTGTTAGATGTAGTTTTGTCTTCTGGTTGAATGAACCAACGAGAGTTAATGATTGTTACCCAATGTAAAACTTTGGAGTTAATGAATCAACTCAATGTACTTCGTCTGGTTCAATGTAGTTGTTACCTATAGTTGAAGTTAAGTATTGTTGTTAATGATGAATGAAGCTTTTTTATAATCCAGCTTCTTATTGTGTTGCCTTATTATGTAGTTATGAATTATAGAACTTAAGCAGTGTACCTAAAATGCAAACCAACGGCCATACACAACCCATGTGAAGAAGCAGCTTTACATAAAGGGTATGGACCCAAAAGCAAAAACCAATAATGCACAAAAGATTCCCATGTCACTCAAAAGACCACCCCACCTCATGTACCTGTCTGCTTCAAATAACCAAAGACCACCCCACCTTTAAAAGTATTTCAGGAAACCAATAATACAGTATAACCCACATCCCACCACAAACCAAAAAGCATATTCAAGACCCCACCTACTAAACCCACCAGTACAGATCTGAACATATAAGCCACACCCTACCACAAACCTATAATTCATGTCCAAGACCCCACCTGCCCAACCTATCAGTTTAAGCAACGCCCAACCTACCCAACCAAAAAGCATATGCAAGACCCCACATTTACAATTACAAACTCAAGTATAAAGAAGAAGAATGCATACTCAGTAATTCATAGCATTTGAACAAAACCCAAGAGTACAGATCCGAATAATTAAGTACTTTGACAACCAACTATTACATAGACAAAAACATTAGAAAACATACATTAATCCACATAACATAAACCCCAAAAAACCCCAGCCACCTAACTGTAGTACCTCAAGTGTTATCACCCAAAAGCCATAAAGGCCAACCAACCAACCATAATTAAGTACTACTTTTACATTTCATAATTCATACACCTAACACATTTGTTATACTACCTCCTCATCCCCCCCCCCCCCCCACACTGGATTCAGTTCTTCCACCCCTTCCTCTTCCAGCTCTGCCACCCCTTCCACCCCTTCCTCTTGCAGATGTTGAAGTCGAAGTAGCTTCACTTGTTCCACCTGTTGAAGCAGTTTGACCTCTTCCACCTCTTCCACCCCTTCTTCCACCTCTAGAACCCCTGCCTCCCCTCACTGACTGATGACTGCTGATAAGTCCGTATTTAGACACGCATTTGATGTGTGTTGGGATTGTATGTTGATGGTTTTCCCAGCTTTAAGGTGTTACAAGTCTCAATTTTAGCTCAAGTTATGTTTACCGGACGTTGGTTCGAGTTTTGTGTCATTTGGAGTCAAAATCAGGATTTTAGAGTTCGGTACCGGCACTTGAGGAACAATCGGGATGATTTGAGAAGCATTTGAGAATGATTTGATAGCTTTGGAGGTCACCGGAAGATTCACGATGAAGATTTGAAGGAAAAAGAGCTCTAGGACTGGCTTCGGGATAAAAAAGAAGATGAATAAAGCTTGAAAACGACGATCGGGATGACCTTCTGTCAATCGTTCAAGCATATCTCTTTGTAGAAACATTCAATGTATACGATTCAAGTTCCATAGGAAAGCCAACTTCAAGGGCTACAAATAATATGAAGACACCTTTGCGAGAATCTGAGAGGAAGAAGGTGAAAACAGACGATGAAGTCAGATGATCTCTGCTGCGATTTCAGAAAGACACCTTCCACCGTTTTGATCATATCTCTTGATTGTATGATTCAAATCACATTCGGTAAATTGGGGTGGATAGAGGACTTCATTATCTACAACTTTCATGAAGGAAGTTTTGTCAAATTCGGAAGTTAAGTAGGCACGATCGTGCCCTCAAAGTCAGACACGATCGTGCCTGAAGAGAAAAGCACCGCGGAGCTACTGCCTGCCAGGCACGATCGTGCCTGGAGGGAGGCACGATCGTGCCTGCCCAAAATGCGCGTTTTTGCTCCGGAGGCACGATCGAAGGCACGATCGTGCCTGGCATCGTGTCTGGCTCCGAAAATCCTAATTCAGCTCAAATTTCACCCGATTTTTCTATTTACACAGCTTGTAAACCCCCGTTTTAAACGGGGGGGAGCTTAGAAAGAGTGCCTAGCACGAATTTTAGAGGGCTTTTCAGCCTTGTTCATCAATCTTTTGGGATTCTTTGTAAGTTCCACCTTTTTAATTAATGACAATTAATTCTTTTTATTCCAATTCTATTGATTCTTCAATTATGAATTGTGAGTAGTTTTAATTAGGGATTTGGGATTGATGAAGGGGTTAATCATGATGTATGGCTAGATTCTTGTCGGTTTAATTGCATGAATGCCGTTTAATTTGTGTTTGAATAATTTAATTGATATCTTTTGTAACCTAGAATCGCGACTAGAATTACAATTGCATGTAAGAATAAATTAAGAGAGATCTAATTTGTTCTAGGACACATTCACACCCACTTAATCGTTCGCTAAGAGATTAGTAGCGATTAAGGGGCCGTAAGCTCGCTCGTCTTGGCAATAATTTAGGATCCTGTCGCATGAGAGATCAGCCTGGTCCCCTAAAGTATTGTACTCTACGCCGCGAGAGCGGTAAGAACTTAGTAATGATTAGCTAGGCTCAATTAAATTAATTTCATGTAATTAGGCCTGATCTGCCAGAAATCTGGTTACCCCGGAATCAATCCATGTTCCCTTCGTCATTAATTAGAAAGAACCCCCTAGTTTAATCGTTTTATTCGCATTTTTATTTTCCAGCAACCAATCTCGCACGACGCATTTTTATTTATTTCTTTTTAATCGCTGAATTTAGTTAATCCTTAATTCCCTTTTGTCCGTCCCTGTGGAGACGATACTCGTACTTACACCACTATATTACAATCTTTTTAAGTGCGAGAAAACACACATCAGTTTTTGGCGCCGTTGCCGGGGACTGTGTCGGTTTTAAGGGTTAATTAATTTCAGCGAGATTTTTTTTAGTTAGTTTTCTTTTTGTTCTTCGTAGGATTTTCTGTGCTAACCTTTCAGGGTTTTTTTCAAAGAGACATGAGATGAACCCATTCAGCCAAATTCCTGGAGGAAGTCCTTTTCCCCAAACCTCCATGTTATTTTCACCATATACGTCATACCCTCCTTACACTCCTCCTCCTCAATATTACACACCTCATCAAAATTACTCTCCTACACCACAAAATATTCAGCCTTCTTATCCGTACACTCCAACCACACAACCCTTTCATTCTGATTCTTACTATCCTTCATCACATTACCCTTGGGTAAGCGTAAGACGAGGCTCCATTCTTGAATTTATGCTTCTAAATAAAACGCCTGAGGAAATATCTGAATGTTTTAAGGATAGCATTTGTTCCTTCTGTGGAGGAGATCACCATTTATGTCTTTGCCCCATCAAACCTCTATATGACCATCCTTTCCAGGAAATTGCTTACCCCACTTCTTCCTCCCCACAATTTACGAACACAAATGTTTCAGTCACTCCTACGTCTTTGCCGAGCTATGAGCCACAGGATGAAGTGGAAGAGATAATTTCAGAGAAGCTGTCTGACCTGGAAGAAACACTCAGGCAAGTCATGCAAGCAACTGAGGCGTGCATGGCAATTCAACAGTAATCAAACACAAGGATGCAGAACATGGAGAAACAATTGGGGCAGATTATAAAGGCTTTATCTGAGGAGTCCGAGAGATCTCATCCTAGCGACACAGATGCCCAACCCGAGGAGACCAATATGGATGATCACGTGAGCGAGTCAGACTATGATAGTGGGAATATGATGGATGATACACTTCTTGATGCCTTTGAAGACCCACCTATGGTTGAAGATGATGAAGAAGATAGTAGTGTCAAGTTGTTTTTCCAAGAATACAGGAAAAAGTTTCAAACGGTACAAGTTGTAACTTATGAAGTCACTGATCAATGTGATTTTCATACAGAAACTCCCCGGCCATTTGATTTACCATTAGTCTCAGCACCTGAGGAGGGCAAGGAGAAGATCAGTCTAGATGATTGTGCTACTGAGGTAGGTTTAGGTATTAACGAGAGTTGGGATGCCTTCATGGAGAGTGATACATGGGCCGGAGGAGAGGTTGTGAATGTTCATGATATCTGTGAGGAAGAAGAGGACTTTTCTATGGTGCAGTTTGATTACGGTGTTGCTCCTACTCCTTGCTTTGAGACATCTTTTGAGCTTCCGGTGATACCTAGAGTAATCAAAATTTTCACTCATGTTTTCTGTCCACCTAAAGAGGATGAGAATTTCATACTTCACTTCTGTGCTGATGAGGGTTATGAAGACCATGTGTTACCTACGTTTACTAGAGAATTTAAAGGTTTGCGCCACATAATGACATTTGTTGAAAGGAAGCTGGAAACGTTGATTGTTAGTGCGCCACTACAGTCTTTGCAATTTGAGAGCTTATGAGGTATCGTCGGGCACACGACGTTAAAAATAGCGCTTCTCGGGAGGCAACCCGAGCTTATTTCTGTTTTTTATTTTGCTTTTGCTTTGTTTGTTGTTTGGTTGTTTTGTTTTGTGTTTTTATTGCAGCTCAGGGTCTTGTTGTATGGATGATGTGCCGAGGATTACATTGACTCAGTTTAGTTCTGCATCGACCAACGCCTTAGGGAAGTTTCTGTGACTCTAATAATCGCCTGTTTGTAATAACTGACTTGAGTTAAGTTGAGCACGCGTGACCCTATCCTCTTTACCACCTTGTGCATAGTGCATTTTTTGTCATCGAGGACGATGCCAAAGTTTAAGTGTGGGGGAGTGAATTGGACATTCGGGCAGTAGTTGTTACATGTGATTATTAGAGTTAGCATGCACAGGTGTTAGTTGTATATTCATAGAAAATTCATGTCAAAATTTTTGAAAATTTTTCTTTAAACCGTGTCTTTGTGAGCTGGCTAGCGTTTTGATTATGTTTTTAGGACATCTTTGAAGTGTTTAGGCTTAAATTGCTTGCACTATAATCTAGTTGTTGAAAGGATGAAGGCATTAGTCACTCATGTAATGAATCAACAATTTTCCCATTGACCTGAATAAGTTCCTTTAAGAGAAGCCACTTTGAGCCTGACCGTTTATTAATAGCCGATTAATTGAGCTCCATAGCCAAATGGCCTGTGTTCCTTACCCCATGAATATTTCTGACATAGTTTTGATGTTTAGGGAACTAAGGGATTAATTTGCTAAGTTTAGGGAATTTGTGTAGGAGCCAATTTTGGCACTGTTCCTATGCCCCAAATGCGGTAAGAGCAGTAACTTTTTAGGAATTTGATATTTTCGAGGATTGCATTGTAGGCATGAATTCACTTTTAAATAAATGAACCTTAATTGCTATTTTTCCTTGGTGAGGCCGAGATTAGAATGGGGTAATGTCTAGTGAGAATCCGAAAGGTGAAAAATTAATATAGCTAGACCTCTTACTTTTCGAAAAAGAGAATGGGAGCCCCGGTCAAAAAGCGTAAGATGTGACTTGGGTATCTTTCGAAAGAAACGGCGTTCTCGTGCCAACATGACAAGGAAAACTGAACCTAACTAATGAACTTGGAGGCTATTTCAAAAATTAGCTTTAGTCCTTCGCGTACTTCAAGTATACGTCAAAGCACAAATGTGTCGCGACGGTTTAGCTTAGTTGTACACCATGTCTACTCTTTGCATAGGTTTAAATGATTGTTCCTAAATTGTGGCATACTGAGTTCCTTGTTCCTAAGAAGCCCTAAAGTTCCTGAATACATTGAGTCTTTGTTAGAATATTCCAATCTCTCAAAAGAAAGGGACTATTTTTGTTATCCATGAACCATTCACCACCACCTTCACAAGTCCTTCTGATCAGTAGCTAGTTTATTTGTGTGTGCTGTCACTACTTTGAGGATGTTGTGAATAATTTTGTCAAATATTGTAGCTAGAGTACAAAGATGTAGTTTAGGGAAGAATTTTCTTGGTTTAGATTGTATTTCCTGTGAATATCCCTTTAACTACGCGTGCATGTTAACTGTTTTGAATTCCGTGTGGTCATTATCGTAAGTCCCGTTGTTCAGTTTGCTTGAGGACAAGCAAAGGCTTAAGTGTGGGGGAATCTGATAAGTCCGTATTTAGACACGCATTTGATGTGTGTTGGGATTGGATGTTGATGGTTTTCCCAGCTTTAAGGTGTTACAAGTCTCAATTTTAGCTCAAGTTATGTTTACCGGGCGTTGGTTCGAGTTTTGTGTCATTTGGAGTCAAAATCAGGATTTTAGAGTTCGGTACCGGCACTTGAGGAACAATCGGGATGATTTGAGAAGCATTTGAGAATGATTTGATAGCTTTGGAGGTCACCGGAAGATTCACGATGAAGATTTGAAGGAAAAAGAGCTCTAGGACTGGCTTCGGGATAAAAAAGAAGACGAATGAAGCTTGAAAACGACGATCAGGATGACCTTCTGTCAATCGTTCAAGCATATCTCTTTGTAGAAACATTCAATGTATACGATTCAAGTTCCATAGGAAAGCCAACTTCAAGGGCTACAAATAATATGAAGACACCTTTGCGAGAATCTGAGAGGAAGAAGGTGAAAACAGACGATGAAGTCAGATGATCTCTGCTGCGATTTCAGAAAGACACCTTCCACCGTTTTGATCATATCTCTTGATTGTATGATTCAAATCACATTCGGCAAATTGGGGTGGATAGAGGACTTCATTATCTACAACTTTCATGAAGGAAGTTTTGTCAAATTCGGAAGTTAAGTAGGCACGATCGTGCCCTCAAAGTCAGACACGATCGTGCCTGAAGAGAAAAGCACCGCGGAGCTACTGCCTGCCAGGCACGATCGTGCCTGGAGGGAGGCACGATCGTGCCTGCCTAAAATGCGCATTTTTGCTCCGGAGGCACGATCGAAGGCACGATCGTGCCTGGCATCGTGTCTGGCTCCGAAAATCCTAATTCAGCTCAAATTTCACCCGATTTTTCTATTTAAACAGCTTGTAAACCCCCATTTTAAACGGGGGGAGCTTAGAAAGAGTGGGTAGCACGAATTTTAGAGGGCTTTTCAGCCTTGTTCATCAATCTTTTGGGATTCTTTGTAAGTTCCACCTTTTTAATTAATGACAATTAATTCTTTTTATTCCAATTCTATTGATTCTTCAATTATGAATTGTGAGTAGTTTTAATTAGGGATTTGGGATTGATGAAGGGGTTAATCATGATGTATGGCTAGATTCTTGTCGGTTTAATTGCATGAATGCCGTTTAATTTGTGTTTGAATAATTTAATTGATATCTTTTGTAACCTAGAATCGCGACTAGAATTACAATTGCATGTAGAATAAATTAAGAGAGATCTAATTTGTTCTAGGACACATTCACACCCACTTAATCGTTCGCTAAGAGATTAGTAGCGATTAAGGGGCCGTAAGCTCGCTCGTCTTGGCAATAATTTAGGATCCTGTCGCATGAGAGATCAGCCTGGTCCACTAAAGTATTGTACTCTACGCCGCGAGAGCGGTAAGAACTTAGTAATGATTAGCTAGGCTCAATTAAATTAATTTCATGTAATTAGGCCTGATCTGCCAGAAATCTGGTTACCCCGGAATCAATCCATGTTCCCTTCGTCATTAATTAGAAAGAACCCCCTAGTTTAATCGTTTTATTCGCATTTTTATTTTCCAGCAACCAATCTCGCACGACGCATTTTTATTTATTTCTTTTTAATCGCTGAATTTAGTTAATCCTTAATTCCCTTTTGTCCGTCCCTGTGGAGACGATACTCGTACTTACACCACTATATTACAATCTTTTTAAGTGCGAGAAAACACACATCAACTGCCTTGTGGAGCTGTTGGACACACATGTTTTTGATGGCCCTTTTGCTTACAATGGGAACATGTCATGACCCTTCCCTTTCTTGACAGCTTGCCTGCTGGAGGCTCAGATTCCTCCCGGGTTCTTTTCTTCTTTGGGCGTCCAATCATTTTTTTGGGTGCAGGCGGGTGTATTTTCTCTCCTTCTACTCTAGGCCAAGCCATTTCCCCATTAATGGGTTCCAAAGTGTAGGAATAAGTTCGTCTGAAGGCAGCAATTGAATAACAATCATCAATATAACTTTCTGGATCCTTGTCCTGATCAAACATTGCACATATAGCATGCTGGCATGGAATTCCAGTCAACTCCCAAGATCTACAAGAGCAAGTGTCTCCTTCCAGCTTTACCTTGTATTGATACTTCCCTTTCTTAACCTCATAGCCATCATCTCCATTGAATACCACCCTCCACTTTGAGCTTCTCAATATGTTAGTATTCAGAATTTTCTTGATGTTAGGGCAAATCCTACCTTTCCATTTTGCAGCTAGATCTCTCTTTTTAGCAATTCTCTGCATCATTTGAATCTGTATGTCATCTAGCATGGGAATGATAGGTTTGCTCCTACACCCCACCAGTGTTCGGTTAAAAGCCTCTGACATGTTGTTGTCAACTGCATCACATTTTACAGAAGTCCTAATGAAGGCTTTGCACCAGGTTTTGAAAGGATAATTTTCCAGATCTTGTTTGGCTGCAACATCCTTTTTTTTAAGCTCTTGAAGCCACTCTTGAAGTTGTGACTGACATGTGGACCTAGCACACATCCAGAACAGCTGCTTCATGTATTTCCCTCTGTGATTCTTGCTCCAGTTTGCATGTATGTGCCTTGCACAATTTCTGTGCTCAGCTTGAGGGAGTAAGGTCTGGATGACATTGGTAAGACCCTGCACAAGACTCAGTAAAGTAAGTTCAACATCTAATTCAGTGAGTTTGCTTATAATATACTTCATTATTTATTACCTCAAGTACTACCATTTACTATCATTTCATTGAGTCAGTTTACTTGTAAATGAAGAAGTATAAATGAAGAGGAAGTACTTATTTAGAAATTAGTAATCACTACTCAGTATAATAGGTAAACACTTAAGAGTACTTATTCATGTAACTACTACCATTTAGTACCAGAAAGTAGTATTAAGTATAATTGGGAGCACATATTTCATTAAGTATAAGTAGTATTAAGAAGTATTAAGAGTTACTATTTCAGTTTACAACAAAAACAAACCAGTAAGTAGAAGTATTACTATAAAGTGAAGCTAAAATACCTTTTGTTGATCACTTATTACAGTCCAGGGGCTGGTATCATCAATTTCCAGATCATGCTTCAACAACTCTATAAACCATGCCCAGGAAGATGTATTCTCAATCTCAACTATGGCCCATGCTATTGGATACATGTTGTTGTTAGCATCCCTTCCAACAGCTGTTAGGATTTCCCCCTTCAAAAGCCCTTTTAAGAAGCAACCATCTAGCCCAACAATCTTTCTGTAGCCTTCTAAAAATCCCCTTTTCATGGCACCAAAGCAGCAATAGATCCTCTGAAACATACAAGGGCCATCATCAACAACTCTCGATGTCATTATCTTCATGGTAGTGTTTGGGATAGAATCAAGCAACTCTTGATCGTAGTCTCTAAGGCGGTTAAATTGCTCTTCAAAGCTAGCATTTATTCTCTTTTTGATGCATCTCACAGCCCTCCTGACCATGCTTGTTGAAATATGAATGCCCAATTCTGTCTCAATGAGGTCTTTTAATGCCACATACCCAATACAAGGGTCATCCCTAACCTTGTCTTCGTATTTCTCTTGTATCCATTTTTGACTAACAACTCTCAGCTTGAATTTGGAATTGCATCTGTGTTTGGTGATCATGGTTTTCAATTGGAAGCATTTGAACCTATCTTCCCAGCTGGCATAAAAGCAGAAGGGGCAGTTTTTTTGAATGCATAGTGCCCGGACTCTTTTAGATTCATTCCTCTTAAAGTAAATGTTTTTCTTGTGGTGCACTGCATACCTAATCATTGCACTCTTAAATTGTATGTTGTCCTCAAACAGCATCCCCAGCTCAATCAAAGGGGGTTCAATCTCTGGATTGTATGAAGGATGATAATCGTCCAGGTTGGATTGCACTTCATGTTCATGCACATCATTGGTATCTGAATGATAACTGGGAGGATTATCAGAATCATACATGTCCATGCTATCCTCATAGTCTTCATCATTCTCAGATCCAAAGTTGGCATTGTTGTTCTTCCTACTTTCCATACCTTCCTCAGCCCCAAAGAAGCCAATATTCTGCTCCCTAACATCTTCATTCTCAGATTGTGATCCAAGGTCAGACCCTATATCATACATAGAAGAATCCTCTTGGTTCCCCAAATCTACTTCATCATCCATGATATCTTCCATTTCACTTGTCTGAATGTCCACATCACACAGCTCAACATCTTCTTCAGCAACAGACTCAATCTGTGAAGCTTTGTTTCTTCTTGGTTTTAACTTGTTTCTATGTGTAGGTCTGGCTACATCATCAATAGAGCTCTGCACTTGTACTTCATAGTTTTAACCGCCTACTTCCTTTTCACCTAAAGGGCCAACATCACCACATACAGCAGATGTGGAGGGTGGCAGCAAATACAGTTCACAAACTCCATCAGTAGAAGACAGACTCACCAACTGCAATGTGGAAGCATCTTCTACTAACTCCCTTAAACATTCCAATGGTTCACGAGACAATTTATACATCAGCTTTCCAAACCCCCCAAATGGTCCAGATTCTATAAACTTTTTCAGATGTGGATAACTGACTACATCAGGGTCACTTTTAATAATCTCTACGCGGCCATTGGTATACTTCATAGGAGAACAGGTTTCAAGAGTGCCACCATAGTTCAAAATTAAATCCAATGTCTCCCACATTCTGAAACAACGACCAATGAAGTACTCAGCAAACAAGTATGAAAAACATAACACAAACAAGTACCAATTCACTACTTAGCAAACTAGATGGAAAGTGTAACACTTTAAACACATACCAAAACTCTACACAAACACTATAAACACACTTTGTAGGCAGCGAAAATTACTTCATACCATTACTACACAATTTCTGTGTTTCACCATACTTCATAACACACTATTACAGACACAAAACTACAATAGGAATCAATAAGGAATAACCTCACTCACTTCGTTAACCTTAACGGCTTCAACGATTGGGCTTTAGGGCACGTCTTCTTCCTCTCTTCCTCTTCGCGCTCAACACTTCACTCACTCACGTCTTCTGCAATTTTTGATTTCCAATTTAGGGCTATTTGGTTAACAGTCAGCGCTAAGTGTTGGGGGTATGTTTTTTTACACGTAACTAGGTTGGGGTTGGGTGTATTAATGAGTCAGCATTAATCATAAGGAATAAGTTGCTGATTGGGCATTTAAGGGGGACGAAGGGGAGGTAACCAGCTGGATGTTGGGCTTGGACAAGTTTATTTGGTTGGTGGGTTGGATTGGAGCTTATTTGGGTTTGGGGTGCCAATTGAGCAATTCGGTTACGTTCAGGGGCCTATTTGACCCTTTAGCCAAATGTTTTCAATGATTGCCTCTAGAGGCATACCACAACTCTAGATCATTTTAATCTAAAAGCAAGTATTTCAAATTAAATTTGGAAAATTTAATAACTGACTATTAAAAAGACCTGAAACGTATTTCAGACTCTTTGTAATTATAGCTAGATAACTTCTAGCATAAAAGTGGTCGGTGTTGAAGAATAAAAACACAAAATAGCCTCTGAGAATGAAAAACTATAGCAAAATGCTTCAAAAATAACTCCATCCGGCATCCTTCACTACACCAGTTCCTCTCATCGTACTTCTGAGTTTCAAGACTTTGTACCACTAGCCCACATCTGCCTGGATATTTGACAAAGAAACGTATGTTCCATCTTCATATGGCTCTAATTTAGTAATTTTTTCAGCGGCTACTTTCCCAAGATGAATTTCACCATGCACCTTGCAAGCAGCAAGCAGTGTTTTCCAAACCAAAGCATCAGGTTGTATAGGCATTTGATAAATGAACCACTCAGCCTCTTTCAGTCTACCTGATCGACCAAGGCATCAGGTTGTATAGGCATTTGATAAATGAACCTCTCAACCTCTCAGCCTCTTTCAGTCTACCTGATTGACTAAGATAATAAAGATAAATACAAGACAACAATAACATAAGAATATGCAAGTAAATTGCGACCAGTTCTTTTTTCTTTTGGAGCAAGTCAAGTGCCACATTGACACTTTTGTGCTTGAGGCCCTGAGGGGTGATTTAAATAATCCTAACTGATGCAGAGGCTACAATGGCATGTACCTGCTGAATAGCAAACAACAGGTATAAACCATGACCATTCAATGGGCTATTTAGTAAATCTATTCACTTAGTGGTTCTAATTGGGGCTTTTCTAATTGAGGGGGGAATTGGACAGCTTGAATGAATAGGTGCACGGACTTAAATGACCCTTTAGCCCTAACTGCCTGAGTGATACAATCTCTCCAAAGCTTTTTTTTTAGGCATCCAACTCCAAATATTTCTAATGCTCCAAGCCAAAAGGTCTGAAAAAATGACTCTTTGGCAAACTGTTTTGTAGGAAGTAAGCCCAAATCAAAACAATCAAATAGTTTATAAACTAACCTTTGAGGGAACATAGTTTCCACGACCCATTTGAACGATAATATCTGTAAAGCCTTTCTTGAACAATTCTTTCCTAGTTTGAGGACTGTACCGCTTTAACAAGATCGTCAAAACAAGTAGTCCCAACAGTCACAAAAACAACTCTCTTTTTATCCCCATTGGCATGAGCCTCGCCCATCTGAAAAAGACACCATATTTATCCCACTTCTAGCTGCAAATTTCTTTAGTTTTCAAATTTGAAGCAAGGCATAGTGATCTAGAACAAACATGTTTTTGAATGGTCTCAGAGAGTACGATTTTCCCATCAGACAAATATACATTACTGGATAAGGGCTATAACCTGTGAAAGTTTCTTCACGCTGAGAATCCACTACAACAAGACCTTTTAAACCTGCACACACATGACACAGCACAGAATTAAATCAGGGCAACGAGCAGGAAGGACGAAAGGGTAGTGATTCTGAGAGAATTGAGTGATAGTGGAATTGTTCTAAAAAGATCGCAAATTTCAAATGAAAAAAATGACCTATTAACATATATCCCACATTAATCTAATTGTTGTTAAGCAAGAACTTTACGGTTAACCTTCCTAAAACGATCCCAATTCTCAAGTGACCAATATTTTGTAAACCCGTAAAAATGTGAAATTGAGGTGGAATTCTGTTTTTTTTTTAAATTAGAAACACGCATGAAACTCATCCAATCTGCAGACCCTTTTCAATTGCAAAAAGGAAATGGGTACGAATATGTTTCCTAAGGTAAAAAGAAACCCTAAAATCATCTTTCAAAGGCATATAAACTCTCTCTTTAAAGATAATCTAAACTCAACTTGTTGCTGTTTCTTATGGCCAACACTACAGAGTTAGTTGAAAAACTAAAGATAAATAAGCTAAACTGTGGGCAACTACAACAGGCTCAAAAGTTGAACAGATAGCCCCAACTAAATGTTTCGACTGAAAAATGTCTGACAAGAACTTAGATATTATTCGGTGAATGACAAGAACCTTTTAATTTGAACTGAAAAATAAAACCATTTGACTTTATTTTGCCAAATTAGTGTAGATAGTAATTCATATACGATAATTTCTTAAATACAAGCAATTATATCCAACCCAAGAAAGCAAAATGAAGCACAAGGCTTAACTAATCAGGAGTAACGAGTACTAGAGAGAATATAAAAACCAAAATTTGAAGTTACACCATAGTTACACCATAATATTTATGGAAACTGGAAAGGGGTGGTTCTGTTCATGAATAAAAAAAAAAAAGCCTACTGAGAATGAAGAAGAAACCCTGAATTTCATTTGACATGAACAGTGTTTAAAGGCAAAATTGTAAAAGTCATACAGGAACATACTAAAACAGTCATACTGATATACGGAGTAATTAAGGCCCTGTCCAAACCAACCTTAGATGTAAAGTAGTTTTTTCTTTCTCCATATAGGTATATATTTTCAGGAAATGGCAGAGAGATCTAATTTTGATCCTAAAACAGTTAAACTATAGGAGTAAAGATGTTTTTACTTGGTTTGATTTCAGTCCTTGACCGTACTTAACTACACCAGACTTAAATAGACCAGATTTCCACAGTTGTAAAATAAAAATAGATCAGCCATCTACCAAACCAGATCAGACCAGAACAGGCTAGACCAGCCATCTAAAAAACCAAATCAGACCAGACTAGACTATAAAATTACATTTTAATTAAAAACATCCTAAATAGGGTATTAAGGCCATTGAAGGTTCACCCACTCAAATTATTTCGACTAAAGAAGCTTTAAAGAGTCAAACCATGATGTTGTTGCATTGGACTCAAGGATTAAGTTTAAACTCACATTTAAATTTTGAAGACTTAATCATTGGCCCCTTTTGATTTTACTGACCCCAACATCCCAAATCTAATGTCTTATGGTTGGCAAGTGATTCTGTGATGTGTCAGCGGATTTTAGATTCGCCCTTTCTTCTAGGCTTTTACTCGATGAGTTAGTGTTATTAACACTTGGGGTTGCAAAATGCATTCTGAACTCTTTGTCTTTGTATAGTAGAAACTACATAATGAGTTCAATCATATCAAATAAATGGATTACTAAGTGTAAATTAGATGGAACTGAGTCCTGCTACCAGACCCTCAATCCGAAAATCCTATTAAAATACATGAAGTTTATTCAAAAATATGATTTAACGTAAGCAGTTATTGGTGATCTATCATTCTATCATTACATGATTCTATTTAAATTTTGCAGTCCGGTGATTCATTGGATAACGTCGCAAAAATGGTAGGCGATGGATGGGACGCTAATTTTTTATCGTATTGCGGGTGATCATGGGGAGATTGATGAAGGGGTAGAGGAGCTTTGCATGCCTTTTAAGGGGAACAACGTAGCTGAGTTGAAGAAGAGATTGGAGGAAGAGACGAATCTGGATGACATTGTCGTTTGCACTCGAAGTGTGTTGAATGGGAAGCTTTATCCCCTTCGGTTGCATCTTCCTCCAAACAATGCAGACATGGCCGTTGTCATTGTCCCGTCATCTTCTAAAGGTCAGGCCTTGTTCGTTTTTTCCTAATTTCCCAAAACTTGTTCCCTGGTTCTTAACGTTTGGCTTCATACATCTTGCTAATACCAAGCCTGTCCTAAAGGAGTTTGCGTGTGCATTTCCCTTATTACAAAATATACAGTATTACAGTCAATGTTACTCATGTTGTTTGTTTTCATTTTTTGAGTATATTTGTAATTAGCTTCTTGTCTTGGTTCTTTCAGTGGCAAAAGATTTTGCAGCAGCAGCGACAACGCCATTCTAGAGCATCCAAATTTGGAATGGCTGGGGGGTTAATTATTTGAAGTGGGGTTTGCAGTTCTGTTGGTCTGAGAGAAGTATTTGTAAATACCTTCACATGGTGAAGTTAGGGTGTAATATTTAATTCTTTTTTATTTTTTGTTATTGTTCGTATTAATAAATGGCCTAAGAATCCAGCACCTGAATTCATTAAGGAGTATACATATGAAATAATAAAGTAAAAAAATATTACTTTGGACAAAATCGAGCAAGTTCCCTCCACCTGCTCTAGGTCATACGGGCTTCCATCACGGCGCAACACCTCTACTGTTGGGACCGCTCGAATGTCGCAGCCACTTCAATGTTGCAGTCATGCCACTGATCAACACCTTTTCGGAGATGATGAGCTTTTGAATCTGTGACGAGCTTCTGAGTCGGCAGTGGCAGCATACTTTGTGCATCTGACATGCAGCAAGAGCCTCAACTTTGTGGACATTTGTAACAACCATCTAGTACAGGAGCTCCCCAGCTTGCCTAATAGGATCATCAAACTCAGGAAATCGGACCCTCATTAGTCTATTGAACTCTCGGTGATACAAGCTCATCAAGGTTTTATCAGCATGTACATTCTTTTTGTGCTGAGAAGGCAATAGCTGTTAATCCAAATTCAAGAGGTGAGGACCATGAATCCTCCACAATCAAACTTGGGATACGTATAAGCAGCTTAACAATTTATTCATGGCAATGCATGGTAACATAGCCATGCTTATGAGCTGACCTGGAAGTTTTTCAGGACAGGCTAACCATTAGAGGTGGCCAGTGGCCACACAGCCCCTGGCAATGTGAGCCAGCTGACTAGCCCCTGAGTCTTCCCTTGGCTAGTTGAACTCTTTGGTCATTTTGAGCCCCGCCACAACTTCAGTAGATGTGCCCTTGGGGCGTCCCTCCTTAGCTTGGCCACCTTTTCATTGTAGATGGTGGAAATATCAGTTCATCTTATCCTTAAGGTTCTCCAGCTCCTGGTTTACCTACAAGGCTGCAAGAGCGGCACACTGGTTCTTTCTGTTCACAATCACTGCACATGCAACCAAAATCAAGTCATCAACAGCTCCAGCAAAAGGCAAAGCAGAACGAACCTAACCTAAGCTGATGGAAATCAGAAAGAAATGGTTAGGACCTCGTCCCTAGTTGGACGTCGAGGTTCTCCAGTTACTGGGGAAGGGAGATCACCATTCAGATTTCAGAGGAGTTAACCAAACCTATTTTGGTTTCCCCAGTACGAAAAGCTATGAATGGTGGCCAAGCATGAGAGATCTTCAATTTAAGAAAACTTCTTTCTCTCAGAAAATCAGGCATTCAACAGTCCAAACGAACAGCTTTTTACCAGCTATCTATCCTCTACTAGGTTAAAAATTCTTAAAATGAAGCAACATGGTGAGAAAGAGGTTTAATGAAGGCAAATAAGGATGTAGTTTTCTGAAGCAAGTATTTCAAATTAAATCTTAAAGCAAGTATTTGAAGTTAAATCTGGAAAATTTAATAATCGACTATTAACAAGACCTGAAACTTATTTCTGATTATTTGTAATTATATCTAGATAACTTTTAGCATAAAAAGTGGTAGGTGTTGAAGAATACAAGCACAAAAATAAAAATGAAATCAAAATAAATATTGATAAGATGCACCAGCCTCTGAGAATGAAAAACTATAGCAAAATGCTTCAAAAATAACTCCATCCGGCATCCTTCACTACACCAGTTCCTCTCATCGTACTTCTGAGCTTCAAAACTTCATCCCACTGGCCCACATCTGCCTGGATATTTGACAAAGAAATGTATGTTCCAGCTTCATACGGCTCTGATTTAGTAATTTTTTCAGCGACTACTTTCCCAAGATGAATTTCACCATGCACCTTGCAAGCAGCAAGCAGTGTTTTCCAAACCAAAGCATCAGGTTGTATAGGCATTTGATAAATGAACCTCTCAGCCTCTTTCAGTCTACCTGATCGACCAAGAAGATCTACCATACAAGCATAATGTCGGTTATTAGGCTCTATACTGTAATCTTCTTTCATTGAGTTCAGGAAAAAATACCCTTCTTCTAGCAAACCAGAATGGCTACAAGCAGAAAGAAGACCAATAAATGTCTTAGAATCAGGCATGATGTCACATTTCCTCATAAGCTCATAAACTTGTAAGGCCTCAACTCCTTTCCCATGTTGGGCATAGCTTACAACCATGGCCGTCCAGCTAATAAGATCAGGACTCTTGATTTGTTTAAATGCTGCGCAGCACTCATCAATGCTTCCACATTTTGAATACATCATGACCAATGAACTTCCCACACAGGCTTCTGAGTCTAATCCCCGCTTTATACTTTGGGCATGCAGTTGGGTGCCAATGCCGGATTGGTTCAACGGACCAACAGGGCAAAGTAAAGATGATATCGTGAAAGCATCGACGTGCAAAGCATTCACAAGGATTTCATTGAACACTTGAAAGGATTCATTAACGTAACCTCTTTGATTGTACCCAGCAATCAAGGAGGAACATGAGAACTTATCTTTGTGGGGCATTATGAGGAATAGTCTCCTTGCTGAAACAAGATCTCCGCACTTTGCGTACATATTCACCAGTGCACTCCCTACAATAGCAAACTCACCTATTCTGCATCGAAGAATAAAACCATGCACTTCTTTACCAATCTTCAGACACTGAAGAGTGGAGCATGCAGATAAGACAGAGCTTAATGTCTTTTCATCAGTCATTAAATTTTCAGAGAGCATCTCTCTAAACAACTTGATTGATTCATCTGCATACCCATGATGTGCAAAACCAGAAATCATTGATGCCCAAGAGACAGAATCTTTGCACTCAATAAGCTCAAAAATTGTGTAAGCTTCCAGCAAGCTAAAACAATTGGAATACATTGCAAAGAGACAGCTACTCAAAATAACATCACTGAATAATCCAATTTTAAGGGTGTAGCAATGAATCTGCCTACCTAGATCTAGAGAGTTTACAACACCCAACACACTAGAACAACAAAATTCATCTGGTTTGACCCCCTCATGAAACATTCTCTGAAATAAATGAATTGCCTTAGAGGAACTGCAGCCTAGCAAACAGGCAGAAATCATATTAGCCCATACACCAAGGTGCTTGAGATCTTCAGTCTCTGCAAAGACCATTTCAGATGAACCATATTCCCCAATCTTGGAATACATACTGATCAAAGCGATCATAACCAGTGAGTCCTGATAAAATCCAGCTTTAAAAATCCAGGAATGGATTTGCATTGCTTCTACACTCATCACTGGCTCAGCACAAGCTGTAAGCACACAGGAAATGGTAAAGTCATTTATTTCAACCTCCTTCTGCCTCATTTCATCAAATAATTGAAATGCGGAAACATAATCTCCACTCTGAACAAAACCATTTATCAAAGCTGTCCAAGAAACAACACTTTGAACTGGCTTCTTTGTGAATTCCTTTACAGCCTCATTCATATACCCTCCTTTGGCATACATATCAACCAAAGCAGTCTGCACAAATACATCATTGTCATAACCACATTTAGTTGCCCATACTTGGACCATCTTCCCCATCTCAAACTCCTTAACTGCAGCACAAGCTTTTAACACAGTTGAGATAGTTACACCATTTGGCATCAAATGCCCATAACACATTTGAATAAACATATCTACAGCATTCCAATATTTTTTATGTTTAACAGCTCCGGATATAATTGTATTCCAACAAACGATATTATCACATTGAAAATCATAAAACACCCTTAAAGCATTATCAAACCTACAACTCTTAACAAACAAACCTATCATCCCAGACCTTACATAACCATTAGAAAAGAACCCATTTTTCATTACGAGACCATAAACCTGTTCGCCGCACACCACAGATTCTAAAGCTTCGCCAGCAGAAAGAGCTCCTCCATATGTAAACCTATCCATACATACGGCTGATGCGTGCATGCTACAAAAATATTCCCATGAAACTCTGAACAACAGCGCCCTGTTACAACCCGAAATCATCTGGTTCCAGCAAAACGTATATGGGATAGCCATTCTATCGAACAACTTAACTGCGTAGTCCATTCTTGAACATTTATAGTACCCATCCAGTAAAGATTTGACAGCTGAATAGTTCTTAACCGAAGTTTCTGTTCTGAGGAAACGACCATGCAGGATTTTGGTTTCAGATAGGGCCAAGAATGCTGACTTGTCGCGTTCTTGGAAGGAGCGAGACAGGTGGGATGTAGCGGAGTTTTCAGAATTTTGGTCTGAGGAAATTGTATGGGTTTGAGGAGCTCTGACAAATGAAATCAATCTGTTGCCAAAGACTGATAACTTTGGATCATATTCTCGTTTTAGTATAGAGTTCATTTCTAAATTCTCATTTTTCAGAATTCATTCCAACGGGATGGGAACTAGCTGAGTTGTGGGGGTTCCGTTAAAACTGAATTATGAAGAAGAGAAACGCAATATGGGAGAATCAGGTTGGAAGTCTTTACATTTTGAAGCACAGTCTTCTCCGCGCGCCAACGCACCCATCTTTTATCAGACCAGCACAATTTTGTCCTGATATTTTTTGGTAGGCCTGGGACAGGTTCGGTTCCTAGGTCAAATATGTGGAACCGTTTAAAAATATGAAATTTTACTAACAGTTCGGTTCTTATAAATTATTTTATAGAACCGATAAGGAACCGAACCGTTCTTAACGGTTCGGTTCTTGTCATTTAACGGTTCCTAGTCTTTGAAAAAATTCTTACAAATATGACTAAATTTTTGCCAAAAAGACATTCTACGATTGAAATTACGCTACAAATATGCTTAAACAGTTAAAGAGAATAATAATTTTAAATACTTTGGACCTTCAAAGTTTCGACCCGCTGGAGTTTGGACCTAATGAGAGGCCTAAGAAGCCTAAGAGAACTGGTTGAAGTGAATATTAATTTTAAATAGTTGAATAATTAAACTAAAATAATGAATGTAATATAAAAAATAAGTAAGTAAATATAAATTAAAATATATATATACTCATAAGAAATATATATAATTTTAATTATTATATATAACGGTTCCTTAACGGTTCCTAGTACATATTTTTTTCAGGAACCGAGAACCGAACCATTAATAAAAAATAGGAACAGAACCGTTAAAAAATAACTAATAAATGGTGGAACCGAACCGAACCGGGTCATAACGGTTCGGTCCGGTTCTCCGGTTCTTGGTTCCAAAGTCCCAGCCCTATTTTTTGGTCATGCCAGATTACCAGGTTATTAATTTTTAAAAAATAAAAGTTGTGGGTAGATTTCATAAAAAATAAATGTCTTTGTCGAGGAGTGTTTGTAAATGCTTTTGCTTTTAAAAAATCAGTTTTTGAATTGATTTTGGAAAAATTGATTAATAGTAAAAGTTGGTAGTATTTTGTAAAGTATGTCCTTTAATAAAAAAAGTAAAAAACAGTTTTCAGTCAAAAGCCGACAAGAGCTTTCTTGGGTAGAAATTATCACTTGATAATACTAATTTGGTTTAAATATGGTTTTAGTCCCTGCAAATATAGGCCACTTTGTTTTAGGTCCCTGCAAAATATTTTCTTTGTTTTCCATCCCTGTAATATGCACTATTTTGGTTTTAGTCCATCTCTAACGCCGAAACAACTCTACTTAGAGCTTTTTTATTGTCGGTTGCATAAATCAACTAGAAGCATTTAAATTTATCAGTTTATAATTTTTTTTGAGGTTAATAAGAGAGCTAAAACAATATTAAAACTAATTATTCACATTTTAAAAAAACATTAATAAAAAATCCTTTAAAAATGAAATTAAATACTTTTTGAATAGTATGACAAAGAATTTAAGGATACCTATTAGTCGGGATTGTTTTGGTGTCAAATAGAGGTTGTTATCATTAGTCATGGACTAAAAAGAAAATGAACATAAATTTCAAGGATGAAAAACAAAGAAAATATTTTGTAAGGACCTAAAACAAAGTGACCTATATTTGCAGGGACTAAAAACATATTTAAACCTACTAATTTTAACTTTTTTAAGCGAAAAACCGAAAACGTTTTTTTCAAACATGTGCAAACACGCCCTGAATCGGGTCTTCTCCTTTATTCTGTGTAATAACTTTTTGTTTAAAAAAACTGTCTTGTTTATTTCAACTTAAACATACTTATTTTATGCGTGTGATTTTCACATGATACTCAGAGCCGCTCAAGTCTAAAAAAGTATTCGAACTGTAGTTGTGAAGAATTGAATTCCAATTTATCCTTTCGCTTTAAACACACTCTATATCTTCCAATTGAATATACTCTTTTGGTATACTATCTATCACTCATGATCCACCTAAGTTAAAATGGAGTGTTATGTCTTGTGAATGTCCCACATTTTGGCTTTCAACTTTGGCGTCCATGTACAAAGATTAAGAGTCCTTATGTTAGTATACGTGACCGGAAAAATGAATAACATAAGAGCATTATTGGGACTTTGTTATGAAACGTGAATAGCATCAAAGCACCCTCGTACATGAGATTATTTTGCAATGATGTCGGTGAAATGATCGATTAGTAAGAGGGGTCATTTGGCAAAACCATTTGATAGAATAATTTGAGGTCAAAACATCAATCTTTTTTAGATTATTTGTGAAATTAAAGTTAATTAGTTAATGCAGGATCACAAAAGATCAGATTGTTTTGAGATGATGATTGAAGATAGTTCAAATTTCAAAAACAATTATGCGGCAGTAGTTCAAAAACACATAAAAAGATTAAAAATAAGGGATGCATGATCTTATTTATTTATTTATTTATTTATTTATCTTCAGCGGCGGATGCATACAGTTGCCGATGGGGGCACATGCCCCAATAACATGTGTATTTTTAGCCTAATTTGTTTTATTTTTAATCAATTAATGACTAGTGCCCCCAACAAAACAATATAAATGCCCCCATTAAATACTCTACATTTCTCACTTACATTTCATTCTATGATGACTTGGAAAAGTAAAAGCGAGGCAAGCCCATGACTTTTGATTCTTTATTTTCTATTTATTTTATTACTAATTTATTTATTTAGGGACACCGGCCGGCCTGTAAACCAAGTTAGCAAAATAAGTTTTAGAAAAGTTGTTACGCTAAATTTCTAAGAAAATAGACTAGTCAAGTATTTAGTTTGTAGATTTACTTCCTTTTTCAGTTAATAATTTATTTTCATATTTTCACCATACTTTATATGTAATTTTTTAAATTTATAGGGGTTTTTTAATCACATTGGTTGTGTTTTTGCAATGAATATTTATTGTCAATTCAAGTTTGTGCAATCGTATTATTGATGATTTATATTCGAATGATTGTTTTATTTGTAATATGGAATAATGGAAACGATTGACTTGATGATCATGTAGTTACAAACTAATTTGTGATAGATAATTTTGTTAAAATGAAATCTCCTAGAGAGCATTGGTAATAAAATACACTACGTAAGATTTTTATTTGAAAATGTTATGTCGATGTTTCAATCTTTTACACTACTTCCTTTCCAAAAAAATTACCATTTTCAAAACTTTTTTTTTATCGATCATTTTCAAAACTTTGATCAATTATATATTTTTATTGAAAATTACTAATAATATAAAAATTATATGAAAATGTTGTTTGTTAAAAATATTTTCATAAAAGTAAAATTTATAAGTTCCATAGTACGGAGTATTATACTATCAAAATCATGGGCCAGATTTTATGAAATGGCAAGGTTTTTTTTGACGGGGTGGTATGACATTTAATTTACTTAAGTTGTTTTTAAGCAAACTATATTTTTTTTATTTGATCTAGCCTAACCGGTTTAATCTAGTGGATATTTATTCTATGTGTATTTTACAACCATCGATGTCTGATCTAGTCTAGTATGAAACTAAAATGAATTCAATTAAAAACATCATTATTCTATACAAGGGGAAATTTGCAGTTTTCATCCCGTAGCTTTCGGTCGTTTTCATTATTAGTCTCGTAACTTTAGTCACTTGCAAATTTGGTCCTGTAACTAATTAACATTTGTGATTTAATGACTTTTCCCCTGAAAAGTACACTTTCTAGCGGTAGTATAGCGGAATTGATGTCGCCGGCATCATATTTTTCTGTCCGAAAGGGTACTTTTCGGTGAAAAAGTCCTTAAACTAAAAAAATTTATTTGTTACATGATCAAATATGCAAGTAATTAAAGTTACAGGACCAATAACGATAACAGCCGAATGTTATAAGACTAAAATCGCAAATCTCCCTTATACATGGTGCCCCCAATAACTTAGTTTTCTGGATCCGCCCCTGTTTATCTTCAAATAAGCACCGATACCCGAACATCTTCCTTAGTATTCTCTAACTATTAGTGGATGATTAAATCCAAAAAACATTACCAATTACGAGCCTAGTTAGCTTTTTTCCGTTTTAAACGCGTTTTAAACACGTACCGTTTTTTGACCAAAAAAACACGTTTAAAAAGGGGAGAAATGTTGGTCCGTTTAAAAAGGAAAAAAACTCCTACTTCCCGTATAAAACGTATTTTTCCCGTATTTTACAAAAAACATAAACATGAATTGACCAATTGAATGAATGCACTAAATGCATAGAAGATCAACAATAGTGTAAAAGTAAAAATGAAAACGTCCTCCCCATGATCTCGTGTTTTTGTATTGTTACAGTGCAATTATTAAATACTAAAATTAATTGCATGATGGCTAAAGCTAGCATCCTGAAATACTAAAACTTACGTAGTAATATACTACAAGATTTCTGATGTTTTTTCAAGCTAGCATATCAAAATTAAGATTTTCTAAACCTACTGTTTTTTAGCATAAACTTTTACACAAACAATAATAAGTGTAGCAATCACACAACTTTTGTCATATGTTATCTGTCATCTTAATGAAAATGATGAGTTTAACTTGAGCGTTATTTGATAATCATATAAAGATAATGATTTTTTGACATTATTTTTCAAAATTATGTCTTGGACTTAATTACTGTTTTTATTTTTGTCATCGACTTATGCAATTACGAACTATTCTCGTATGTAGTAATGAGATTTGCTACTTGAATATGTGTATACTTTTATTTCTTTTTTACTATATATGTTATTTTATGAAATATATCATTTAAATGTTCAAAATAATACCCATATTTTTCGTCCGAATTTTTGTAATAGACAACGTATGATACACGTATACGTATTTACACGTTTTTTTAAAAGTCAACGTTTTTTTCAACGAATTTTTGACCGTTTTTTTCATTCATGTTACCGAATAAAACGCGTACATCGTTTAATTCCCGTACCGTATTTAACTAACTAGGATTACGAGTCCCATAATGTTTGCATGTACCATTCTGCGCACAAATTGTACTTTTTTTTTGGAGCAAGCACACTACGATTAGAAGCAAGGTCATAGCTATTGACTCTGAAAGTCCGTGCAAAATGACGGGAGTGACTAATATTATGAGCCCGTTTGGTAGCACCAAAATAGGCTGTTTTGGCTGATTCTGCTGAAATTTATGATATTCTGGCTGGAGTGGCTGTTTTGGCTGATTCTGCTGATTTAAGAAAAAAATATTTTAAAAATATATTTTATTAATAAATTAAAGAAAAAATTATATGTAAAAATAGCTAAAATGATCCTCTACAGTAACTTCAGCCAATACAGCCAGAAAAGTAACTCCAACCTTACTTTTTCGGCTTATTACACAATTCAGCGCGCGAACGTAAAAGTTACGTGTTTGGTGAAAAAGCTGGCTGATAAGCCTGATAAGCCGAAAACAGAGTTCTCCAAACGGGCTCTATGATTGTTAGCGATATCCCCAAAGCAATACAATAATCTTTTGCAACATTCAAAACTATTACAAGGCCTTTTTCTTTAGTGTTCTCCCGTAAAACTCTTAATTTGATTTTTTTTACCTCTCTGAAATAAGACAGATCATTATTTAGGGAAACCAAGATGCCTACTAATGAGTTCAGCTACAGGCTTAGCATCACCCGGTTGATATGGAACAAGAGTCTCTATGGACATATCAGCAATGGTTTGATATAGTGTGTGAGGTCGTGCACAAAACAAATGCTTCCTTTCTGCAAGTTCTTCTGCTAACTCACTCTGATGATTGTCCATTAAATCCTCATTGACGACCACGATCAATGGTTTGCCAAGACGCAATGTCTCAAATATGCTTCCTGAGCCTGCAGATAAATCAAATATGATTGTGGATTTAATTACGTCTAAAGATGACTCATGGCAAGCTACATCACAAAACTACTGAAGTTCTTAGAGTGACATCATATCCAACTTTATGGGATAAAAAGCAGAACAAAATGCTAGAGATATGAGTAAGGTGAAAAACAAAAAGTCAAAACTCAAAACCTTTTCTTTTGATGAAATCTTAAGTCGAAACCATAATTCGTGGGGAATAGGACACACAAAGGTCCATTTTGAATGAAATGATAGGGAAAGAATATAGAGAGGAAAATATATGGGAGAGATTTGGAAGGAAAGAAAATGATGTTCACACTCAATTAGTTGGTTAATATTTTCTCAAACTCATTGTATATATTTATTACTCTTATAGAGGGACTAGGAAACCTGAAGTTCTAAGCATATGCAGGGTTTTTAAAGCATTAAACACGTTTCATTTTTCCTGACATCTTCCAAGGTAAAACAAAACACAAGAAAATAAGCTTAGCATTTTTCCTTTCCCTAGGGTTATGGGATCCTTTCATACCCAAGAAAAGGGAGCACAGGGAGTAAATGATTAGGAATGAATTAGTGGCAATGCAAAAAGGAATGGACTAGAAAACGACATGAAGAATGGAGGGAAATTGCACATGGATGCATAAAAATACATATGCATTGAATCATAGCTAACCTGCATGACTAATAACAAGAGAAGCTGATTTCAGATATTCAGCTATGCTTGATGAGAAGGTAAAATATTCCAGAGTCGGGGATCCATTTTCCATAGCCCGCTGAAAATTTTAAACTGGTAATTAAATCAGCAATAAAAAGATGCCATAAAATCATAAGTTTCTAACTCTAACAAATAAATACTTATAGCTACTTTCAGATGGTGTTAACCATATTGTCTAGTTAGTTGTTACAAAGTCTATCTGCAATTGATCAATCTAATACTCTAACAAAACCTCATCTTACATTAGTTACATAGCCTATATATAGCTTGTCTAGAGTTTAGACAGCTTTTATGGAGAGGGTGGGAGCAGCCTTTAAGCACAGAAATACACATAAACTTAAAAAGATGCATACAACTTGTTAATGTGGATGATCAAATCAAGAAGTATGTCTACACAAAATAAGCTAATCAGGAGTTTCAGTAATGTGGACAAGGTACAATTTCATTTAATAATATTAAGAATAATTTCGATTTAGGAAGGTTGAGAGGGGCATCCGTCATGAAAATTGTGGGTAAGCTTTTCCTGTGAGAATTTAATTTTAACTGTTTTAAGACAATTAATAGATAGTATACATTTTTGCCACCAACACAACATAGTACGGGTGAAGGTGGTGAAGATGAATCCTGACTTCCTGTTAATACTAGGTTTCCTTATATCAGGCCTCCTGTTAAGTATAGGCAATTCCATAGTGATGAAGAGAGAATTGTCAAAACAACGCACACCAAAGCTCTTATTTGCGGATACCAAAGCTCTTTTTTAATTCATAAGAAATAACAGCAGCTTCAACAACCCATGTGATAATCAATAAGAACAAGTAGCTACTTTGGAAAAAAAACTATGGAACTAAAATAGCCACTTATAGATTAACAAGTAGTACTGACTATTTTGTTCTGCCACTTATAAAATAGCCAAGTAATGCTTGTTAGATTCTTAGTTCTTACCACCCACCCAACTGCTGGCTGAAGGGCCAAATAGATTCCTCCAAGTTGTTTAAATCACCCCTTCAATCAGACTAAGTTCTAATTAAAACCACCATTTTAATAAAAATATGAAATTTATGAATAGCTTACTTGGCTTTTCAACTCCCAGTTGCTCATTATTTATTTATTTATTTGTATGATTCAGTTACATTCACTACGCTAAATGGTCAAACAGGTCCAGGTATCCAAACTACTCAATTCGGTCCCCTAGAATACAAAAAATGTCCAACCATTATCTTCTTGTTTGAAATATTTAACCCTAGTCCCCATCGTCATCATAGGTGCATTGGGAAACCAGGACAGATACCACCTCAATCTCGTTAAAAACTTTGTTTTATGCGTAAATGTTTTTCCGGCTCACCCCATTTTTTTCTCTCTCGATACACTAATGATCGTAATCATCTTCATCCGTGGAATTCAAACTCAAACTTGTTGTTCAGATTGGCCAGCTTATGGGTGGCAAGAACCGGCAACAATCTTAGTATTAAAAAACCGTGGCAACTCATCCAATCCCCTCACATTTGAACCCTACCACTCAAGCAGAAATCAAGATATAAGAAGTTCAACTTCTCATAAATCAAAGTCTGGGAACCAAAATCTTGTATAAGAAAAAATTGCTTTTGAAGTATTTGAAGAAAAAATAGTGTTTTAGTTGATCTGGGGTGTGGGGATGTAGAATATGCAAGTAAATTGCGACCAGTTCTTTTTTCTTTGGAGCAAGTCAAGTGCCAAATTGACACTTTTGTGCTTGAGGGGTGCTTTAAACAATCCTAAGTGATACAAAGGCTACATTAGTATGTACCTGCTGAATAGCAAACAACAGGTTTAAACCATCCAACGGGCTATTTAGTAATTCTATTAACTTGGTGCTTCTAAGTGGGGCTTTTCTAATTGAGGGGTGATTGGACAGCTTAAATGAATAGGTGCACCGTGCACGGACTTAAATGACCCTTTAGCCCTAACTACCTGAGTGCTACAATTTCTCCTAAGCTTTTTTTGCATCTAACTCCAAATATTTCTAGTGCACTCCAACCAAAAGATCTTCGAAAAAAAACTCTTTGGTAAACTGTTTTTTAGGAAGTGAGTCCAGATCAAAACCATCAAATAGTTTATAAACTAACCTTTGAGGGAACATAGTTTCCACGACCGATTTGAATGATAATATCCGTAAAGCCTTTCTTGAACAATTCGTTCCTAGCTTGAGGACTGTCTACCGCTTTAACTAGAGCGTCAAAACAAGTAGTCCCAACAGTCACAAAAACAACTCTCTTTTTATCCCCATTGGCATGAGCCTCACCCATCTGAAAAAGACACCATATTTATCCCACTTCTAGCTGCAAATTTCTTTAGTTTTCAAATTTGAAGCAAGGCATAGTGATCCAAAACAAACTCGTTATTGAATGGTCTCAGAGAGTACGATTTTCCCATCAGACAAATATACATTACTGGATATGGGCTATAACCTGTGAAAGCTTCTTCACGCTGAGAATCCACTACAACAAGACCTTTTAAACCTGCACACACGTGATACAACACAGAATTAAATCTGGTCGACGAGCAGGAAGGACGAAAGGGTAGTGACTCTGAGAGTTTGGGATCCGTGGATCCAAGATAGTTTAAATGTTTGAGAATTGAGTTGTAGTGGAATTGTTCTAAAAAGATAGCAAAGTTCAAATGAAAAATCTGACCTATTAACATTTATCCCACATTAATCTAATTCTTGTTAAGCAAGAACTTTATGGTTAACCTTCCTAAAACGATCCCAATTCCCAAGTTACCAGTATTTTGTAAACCAGTAAAAATGTAAAATTGAGGTGGAATTCTGTTTTAACAGAATTAGAAACGCCCATGAAACTCGTCCAATCTGCACACCGTTTTCAATTGCCAAAAGGAAATGGGTATGGATATGTTTCCTAAGGTAAAAAGAAACCCCAAAATCATCTTTCAGAGGCATATAAACTCTCTCTTTACAGATCATCTAAACTCAACTTGTTGATGTTCCTTCCGGACAACACTACAGAGTTAGTTGAAAAGCTAAAGTTAAATTAGCTAAACTGTGGCAGGTAATACAGGCTCAAAAGTTGAGCAGATAACCCCAACTAAATGTGTAAAAGTCAAAACTCTAGAAGAAATGATTCGACTGAAAAATATCTGACAAGAACTCCGATAGTATTCGATGAATGACATGAAGCTTTTAATTTGAACGAAAAATAAAACCAGTTGACTGTATTTTGCAAAATTAGTGTAAATAGTAAATCATATACGATAATTCCTTTAGAACCTGTTTGGTAGTTTAGACATTAAAAGTTTACATGCAAAATGATTGCATGTAAAGTTTAGGGCCGTAAAATAGTTGGCATTTAAAATAGAAATACATTGTTTGGTCATGTGTGTAATCTATTTTTAAATTACACGTAAACTCTTTACATTGTTTGTTAACAAATAAGTTTACATGTAAAATATTTAGAAAATAACTACAGGTTCATTGACGGTTAAGAACTTCTGTTCAAAGTGAAGAGAACTTCTAATTGACAGTTGGCCTGCAGCCTTTAACTTTGAGAAGGATTAATCACTACCACTTTATTTGAAGCAACTAGAAAATTCAATGGCTGCAGTTTACCATTGAATGAAAATGAAATTCAACTAGGCGTACATCAAAATGTCATTATATAATTCAACCGAAGAAAGCAAAATGAAGCAAAACAAATCAGGAGTAACGAGTACCAGATAGAATATAAAAACCAAAATTTGAAGTTACACCATAGTTACACCATAATATTCATGGAAAGAGGTGGTTTTGTTTAGGAAACAAAAACAAGCCTACTCAGAATGAAGAAGAAAACCTGAATTTCATTTGACATGAACAGGGTTTAAAGGCAACTGTAAAAGTCATATAGGAACATTATCAATCAATTGTGAGTTTATAGTCCAAAACTTAGGCTCATTTGACTTTTTGGATTTTAACTATCATCAGACAGAAAGAAAACAGTCGCACCATCCATTTAAAAAAGATTAAAAACGAAAGGCTTGTAAGCCTTTAAAGATGTTTTGAAAGCGCTCCTTGAAAAACTGTTGAGTATCTACCTGCACGACTGCAACTAAGACCAAACATTAGGGTTGTGTTGGTATCTTTTGCGTTTTCAGATCAATTTACACAAATAATTAATAATTACCTTGCTATACGGCTAAGAAACAAGAGACGGAAGAAACCGAAATGAAGATTTTGTAAAGTTTCTACACAGAAAAAAAATCAGCTCCAATCACAACAAAAAATGGAAAATTGTATCGTAGTAAGGTGCTCACCATACAACCAGGTATTTTTGAAATTAATTACAACTCCAAGGTCTTCCCTTTTGTGCTGCTCGTTGATGTCCTGGGAGGTGGAGGAGCCAATCGATGCTCCTCGCTTGGTCTTGGATACTGCTCGCTCGCTGCTCTCCGCAAAGTTCCGATCGATGTGCGGATACAGGAATGAGGGGTGGGGTGGGCTTAGGACTGATAGTTATTGAACTGAGTTTTTTAGTGCATACAAATTTTCGTTATTGCATACAAAAGGTTTAGCTTAGGACTGATAGTTATTTAACTGAGTTTTTTTTCGAACTACTCGAGTTCGATCGTGATTTCGAATTTAATTTACACCAAAGCTTAACGAGCTTCAATCTCGAACACGGGCTTAATTTTAGTTTAAATAGTTTGTTTTTACAAAAAAAAGCGGCCATTATTTTTTTGAGTTTGAATAGTTATTCAAGCTGAATTCGAGCATAGTCATGTTCAGTTCGATCTGGACTCGAGCATATTCATAACTTATAAATTATAGAAATAAACTATATACTACCTCCGACTTTTATTAAGACTAATTTGACTTTTCAAGTCAAAGAAGTTAAACTCAGAATGACTATATATTTATACAATAAAATTGATAATATGAAAATGAAACGGAAATGTTCTTTGTTAAAAAGTTTATCATAAAAGTACAAATTTAGTAAGTTTCACATTAATACATGAGTTAAAATAATGGATCAAAGTTTACCATCTTTGAGTAAAGAGTCAAAGATGGCTAAATAAAATGAGACAGAGGTAGCATATCTAAAATTTAAACGTTTTTAGTGTGATTTATAATTTTATTATTGATTATTAAAGATTTTAGTATTTATTGATATGAATTAAAATACTTCTATAAAAGTATAAAACTAATAAGTAAAAATAGTCGATGTACACAAAACTTATAAGTATTCCCAATTTTAAAATTGAATTGAGATTTTGAATCCATTCTTACATGCCTAAACAGTAAATACATCGTTCTCTATTCTTTAATTGCATTATAAATAAATCATTTTCTAATCTTTAATTCTATCTTTAATCATTATTAATTTGTAATAATAAATAAAAACTATTTTACTATCTACTGAAAAAATTCAATTAATAATTAAATAGAATTACAAAGTTGGTAGGCTTGGGCTGGGCTAGACATTAGTTTTGAGGTGGGCTGGAAATTAAACCTATACCTATAATAATAAAAATAAATTGGGTTGGGCTGGGCTGAAGCCCACCCCTGCCCCAACATAGATCCGCCCATGGATGTGCCGACCACCTGCCAAGTTCCGCAGCAGGAAAAACGCAAAGAACTTCCGCTAGAGTTCTGTGAGTTGCCAAAGCTGCTCTATGGATTATGGAAGTAAAATCTTGAATTCTGCTCCGTATTTAGTTATGGAATCCCCCAAAGACAAATTACAACTTCTAATTTAATATTGTATTTTAGTATTATATTTTAATATTGTACTCCTCATATTAATATTTTCTACTTATTAATTACTAACTTAAATTTTATGTTATATTGAAAATGAGTATAGTGTTTATAACAAATGAGTATAACGGTTAAAAGTTTTGAACATACAATATTGAACATACATAATTCAATATTTGAACAAGTTAAGAAAATTAAATGAGCATACACAAATTTGAGCATACTAGACAATTCAAATGAGGTGCACAAATGAGAGCGTATCATAGATTTTAAATGAGCTTTTTGCTATGTTTAAAAAACCGACCCGACCCGGCCGGGTCAACCCGGAACCCGGTGACCCGGACAAAAAATCGGTTCGGTTTTTTCAAAACCCGGAAATGGTCAAAAACCGGAAAAACTCGACTGACCCGGGAAAATCCGGTCAAGACCCGGACCCAAGAAACCCGAAAAACCCGGTAAAACCCGGTTTTTGGGTGTTTTTACCAAAAAAAAAGTAATTTCTTTTTTATTTTTAATGCATTTTTTATACCAATAAAATTGCAATTTCAATACCTTAAAAAGATAAACTACGTAATATGTTTATATATTTATTTAAGAATGAACATCATGCCAAATTATAATATAGATGTACAATAAAAATAAAAATATCATTATATATTTTTATAAGATCAAAATATACATTGAAATATTATGAGAGTGTATTAAATGCTTAATAAGTATTATTGTTAGTTGATTATTATGAATAATAACTAATTTTTATTATAATTTTATATATAATTATATGTTTACTATTATGGGAGTGTATTAAATGATTAATAAGTAGTATTGTTAGTTGATTATTAAGAATAATAAATAATTTTTATTATAATTTTATATATAATCATTGACCGGTTTTCCGGCGTTGACCGGGTTGACCCACCGGGTCCGGGGTTGACCCGTGACCCAGTCATGTGGTCGGGTCACTCTCCGGTCCGGTTTTTACAACATAGGCTTTTTGAATTTTTGGTTGCTCATTTCACAAGTAATGTTTACTCATTTAATATTAGTGCAATGCTCATTTTAAAATGTTTCACATTTCAAACTTACTACGTACTCCCTCCGGTTCTTTTTAAACTTCACACTTTCCTTTTTGGGACGGTCCAAAATAAACTTCATACTTCCTTATTTCCTTATTTGGCAAAGAAATCCACATCAAAACAGTGTTAAACAGTGCTAAACAGTGCCAAACAGTGTCTCAACAGTGCCAAACAGTGCCAAACAATGTCTCAACAGTGTACTCTACAGTAAAGTCAAATTTATTTCCTTAATCAATGTGAAGTCAAACTGTAAAGTTTAAAAAGATCTGGAGAGAGTATTATATTACATTATATTAATCTTGAATGAGTATAAAACCCAAAATGAATGAGCATACACAACTGAACAATTGAATTTTTTGATACTCATTTTGTAAATTATGTATGCTGATTTGGTACCATTCTTCTACTCATTATATTTTTACATAAGACTTTATTATAGACATGAGAGAACATATCATGATGCTCAACCGCATAATTCTAATACTCAATAGAGGAGATTTGATACTCAATTAAAATATGAACAAAAACTTACGTTTTTCATATAAATGCTCATTTTATATGTTACATATGCTCAATTGGTAACGATGTTATGCTCATTTTTAAAATGTCATACCAATTCATTATTTCAAAAGTACCATATTACATTAGATTCTCATATTGAAATTCATAGGAATTGATTATAGATATAATTAAATGAGCTTTTATTTAAAAAAAAAATAAGAAAAACAAAGTGAATTACAATATATGAAGTTTATATCACAATACTCATTATTTTACTCTTAATACTCAGTAGAATACGTCTGATGTTCATTAAAAGTGTATTAATGCTCATCTAATGAAAACCACGATTTTCACTGAAATTACGAAAATGCCACCGTTTTTAAATTGTGATATCAGCTTTCTTGTAATAACATGGTGCTCATTATTGGACCCTTAATACTCATTACAATTGGACTATTGCTCATTAACAGTACACTGATGCTCATTTAGCAGAAACCGCGATTTTTACATTAATTACAAAAACGCCACCGAATTATTTTGCTATTTTTTCCTTGGGCCTGTTCCTGGACCGGCTGTACGGTGCTCACCGTACAGCCGGTTGTACCATATACGTACTCACAAAAAATCTGCTCCAAAATGAGGATTTTGAAAGGCATGGAATCTAAAGCAAAAAAAAAAAGTGCAAATAAGGCCACGTATTAACAAAAAAAAGTCAAATAAGGCCTTATTTAAGAGGTTTTGTCCGGCCGTTGCCATTAGGGGTGGTTCCCGGTGGAATTTTTTGATGAAATTTTTTTAGCATCTTATTCAGTAAGTCTAGTTTACTCATAACAAATTTCAGCTAACAATTCAATTGGGAAGACATTCAAATGAATTCTTGAAGATAACTGCGCAGGTATCTTCAAGAATTCATTTGAATGACTTCCCGATTGAATTGTTAGCTAAAATTTGGTATGAGTAAACTAGACTTAAGGAATAAGATGCTCAAAAAAATCATCAATAAATTCCACCGGGAACCACCCTAAATGGAGAAGGCCGGACAGAGTCTCATAAATAAGGCCTTATTTGACTTTTTTTAATTAGTACGTGGCTTTATTTGCCCCTTTTCCCGCCAAAAAATCATCAACTATAAGCATATCATTTACCGATAAGAATTACGTAGTACTTTATGTTTATTTGAGAAGGATCGGTGAATGTAGGCATGTGGTCGGGTTGGACCCCGAACCCGAACAGGATCCGGTTGTGGGTAACAGACTAACAAATACGGGTCTATAACTTATTTTGTTTACCCAAACTCGGGTTCGGACCCATTAGTATTTTTAATAAACGGGTTAGGTATGGTACATATGATTTCGACTCGTTAAGGACTCGGACCCGTTTAAAATTTCTTAAATGTATATACACACAGACACACTAATATATAAAGTGATTAGTTATAACACTTTTTTTAGAACAGATAACTTAATTATTTATAAAACTGAGAACCAGATACAAATTCACCATAACAAAGGCTCCACTTGGGTGAGACTCGGAGTTGGATTCGCGCTTACAAGCGGACCATCTCGCTAACCCCGCAATGTGGTAGGCTCCATACACAGCAATGTTCTATCTGCTAGTAAAAAGGGAATGAAAACATAACACAGAGTTTTGAAAGATCCTGGTTTTACCGACCACCAGTAAGGAAGAAGGGGTTTGATCTACAAACTCCAAAGATACCAAACTGATTTGACCAGCCATCGGGAATGGAGAAGAGGTTTGTTCAGCCACCTCCAAAGGAATATTCCCACCTGCAGCAACTAATGGAAATCTAGGCGGTGCTGATTCATTAGCACCGCCGCAGCGCCGTTTTTTGCTATGATACCATCTACCTCCAAATTGACTTCAGCAATGGATATCATACTGCCTGAATTTGCAATCATCTTCATGGGATAAACTCTCTGTTGTATCACACAGAGACACAAATCCACTATCCACACACGAACCGTCAATTGAAAAACAAGACAAAGCCAAACAGCACACTAAGTACGTAGAGACGACGGCAATATAATCTCTGCCTCCAAACGAAAAAAGAACAGCAACAAAATTCTCAGCCACAAACGTGCCGGAGCAAATCACACGGGACACAATCCCGGAAAACCAAACTTCAATGGAAGAATCGAACAAGAAAGCAAAAAAAAAAGACCTGGTAGCAT